CTTTACCAGCATCACTTCAAATCAACTCATATTTATAAAAATAAAAAATACACTTATTTAGAATATTCAAAAAACCCTTTATTAAGAAAGTTCGTGAAATCTTTTCAATCTATGTAGTTTTGTGTTTGATTATTATGGGTTTTTTTTTTTTTTTTTGTAAAATCTTAATGACAGAGTAATTATTCTTGGTATGAGTAATTAACTGAATGTTGAATGCTTATTTTCATTTACAATAATTTAGTTTGACTTTTATTTATTTATTTATTTTTTTCCGATTTCTTGTGCTGTCATTGCTATGGTGGATGAATCGTTTCTTCTGGTGCAGATCCCAACGGTATGCTTTTACATCTCTGCCCCTCTCTCCGCACCCACGTGTACACTTGTCTAATTAGATACAACGAGACTTTTTTTTTTTTTTTTTGCCCTCTCTTTAGGATTTAAATTACTATGCAACTGACAAATTTGCATCTAGAGTGACGTTTGGTAAGAAAAATGTTTAATATAGACTTGTTTAATTTGGGAATTGTCTGAGAAAATAGAGAGATTAATTTAGTAATTTAGTGAGATTAATTGTCTGAGAAAAATGTGACATTTAGTAATTTTTTAATAAAAAATATATACAGAAAAATAGAAAGATTAATTTGATAATTTAAAATGAATTTTTGATTAGAAACTAAAGTTTCCAAAAAGTCTTTAGATATGTTAGGTAGGGGGAAAAAAGAAAAGAAATTTCAAGAAAAAAATTTACCTTTCATTTTTTATTTACAAATTTTTTTCTTTACCTTTAATTTACTAATTTTTATGCAAATTCAACATTCAAACATTTCAAAAACATATGATCACGGTTGAAACCATCATTGTCATAAATAGTGGTGAAAACAATCAATTAAAAAGTTACAGTAAAATCACATTTTAATTTCTTATATCCACAATTCTTTCCCTTTCAACTTTAGAAGCATAAAAAGTTATCAATGCGAGAATTTTGGATAGTTATTATTTTTTAATTTGGATTAGTGCAATACATTGGTTGGTCCACGCATCACTTTCCAAGGAGAGTCTTTTGGACTTTAATAATCATAATTATTATTCATTTAAAAAGAGCACTAGTTGTTCCAAAATTGTGTTGGATTTGTGGATTGACAAGAGCCACGTGGATGTGTCTAACAATTATGTCGATAACAAAGTCAGATTGAAAGCGATTTGAACTGGACAAAAAGACAGGACATGTATTTACCTACTTATTTAAGAGTAATAAAGCTAGGAAATTTAATTTTTTACATTAAATGTCCTTATCCATGACATGGCATTTACAAATGGCTCAAAGCAGGTGAATTTTAAGAATGACGTGGCATTTTTACCATTAATGATCGTTACACCTGTGCTTATTAAATGACATTAATTAGTGAACAAACAACCATAATTTCTTTTGCAATTTTTTTAAAAACGATTATTAATTTCAAATCTCAACATAAAATCCAAACATAATACATGATGTTATTTAACTCATTTTTTTACAAATTAATATATTAAATAATCAAATTATAGAAATTTTTTTTTGATGAAAATAAGGGATAAATACACATGTGTAGGAGTTGAGTTAAGTCAATTTATATAGTTGGATTAACAATTTATGAACTGTATGCGAATCATCATATTATTTTTTGTCATCTAGTTTGTATAACTTACTTGTTCATTTTCTAAATGTTACGAGTTGATCTGTACTTATAAATAAACATTCCCCCTCTCCCTCCCTCCCTACCTAAAATACAGTTTACATGTCATCAAGCATTAAAGGATAATCAGGATTGTTCAGGATATAGATTGAGCTAATTTAGTATTAAAAAGATAAAATAGATTAAAATATCAATATAAATCATAATCATTTAATTTTTTTCTTTCACAATCATCACATTATAATATAAAATAAAAAATAAAAAAATATCTCAAATAAAACTTTTTTAATTAGACTAAAATAATTAAAACTTATGCTAAAAAAATTTATCCCAAGAAAGCCTCAAAAAAGACGATAAAAGAAGAAAACTCAAAGCGTAATTCATAACTTGAAGTAGAGGAAAACTTTAAATCAATTTTTTTGTGAATGTTGTATTTGTTTTTTATAGGCTTAGTTTTATTTCTTTTGAGAGAGTAATTTATTTTTTGTTTATTTTTATTCTCCCTATAAAAGATATGTATTAAACTTTATTGTATATATATATTTTAGTTAAAATATAACTTATAAAATTAAAAATAAACAAAAAAAAGCCTTAATTAATGAGAACTTTATGATCCATGTTAAACATGATAGGTCCACTATATACAAAGGGTGGTACCACTTCTTCTACCAATAACAACCCAGAAGGTGCAGTATGGGTAACATCGTGTGGGTCATTCGTATCAACAGACCTGATCCACTGGCGCCACCTCCCCATCGCGATGACCTACGATCAATGGTACGATAGCAACGGTGTCTGGACTGGGTCCGCTACCCTCCTCCCCAACGGTGATCTCGTCATGCTCTACACCGGATCAACCAATCAGACCGTGCAGGTCCAAAATCTAGCATACCCCGCCGACCCATCTGATCCCTCCTCATCGATTGGGTCAAATACCCCAAAAACCCGGTTCTAGTACCCCCACCCGGAATTGATATCCACGACTTCCGTGACCCGACAACCGCCTGGCTCACATCTGAGGGCAAGTGGCGGATCACAATCGGGTCAAAAATAACAAAACGGGCATTTCATTGGTTTATGAGACCATGGACTTTAAAAACTTCGAGCTCTTGGAAGGGTTGCTCCATGCGGTTCCGGGTACGGGTATGTGGGAGTGCGTGGACTTCTACCCGGTATCCACGAGTGGGGAAAACGGGTTGGACACGTCAATGAAGGGTTCTGGAGTGAAACATGTGGTGAAAGCTAGCTTTGATGATGATAGGAATGATTACTATTCTCTGGGGACGTATGATGAGGAAACAGCTGTTTGGCATCCGGATGATCCGAAATTGGATGTGGGTCTCGGGTTGAAATATGATTATGGAAAATTCTATGCATCGAAGACATTTTTTGATGTGGAGAAGAAGAGAAGGGTGTTGTGGGGTTGGATTCCGGAGACAGATAGCGAATTGGCCGACATTCAGAAGGGTTGGGCTTCTCTTCAGGTACATTCATATATTTCATACTCAATTTTTACATAAGACAGTGATATTTATATAATTAAATATTATTTTATTGCACTTCGTGTAAAATGATAAATTTCAATGCAACACCCCCATTAAATTTGAATATATATCACACAATTCACTTTCTAGAAAAATATTTTGTTATTCAAAAATTTCTGTGACGGTATGTAGTTTTTCTTTCCTTACTACCCTCCTGCCATAAATATTCATACTTGTTGACAAAGATGCTAATGATTCAAACAGGCAGTTCCAAGGACAGTAGTGTTTGACAGGAAAACTGGAAGCAATGTACTTCAATGGCCAGTGGTGGAGGTTGAGAAATTACGAACGAAAAGCTGGCAATTTAGCAATGTGGTTGTCCAACCAGCTCAGTCTTGCCCCTTGATGTCGGCAAAAAAACCTCTCAAGTTAGTATTACTCTTCTACTTGCACAGAATCGATTCACAGAATGAGAGAGTTGTGTTGAATTCTATGATTAGATTTTGTGAGCTCATTTTTCTGTGGGAATGTAACAATTGGCTTATATTTTCAATTGTGCATTGGCAATGAACAGTTAGACATCATGGCCGAGTTTGAGCTCGATCAGGAGGCCTTGAACAGGGTGAATGAAACCGATGAGAATGTTCAGTTGCAGCACTGCCGGGGAGCAGCAAACCGGGGTGCTCTTGGACCGTTTGGTTTGTGGTTCTTGCAGACGGAAGCCTTTCTGAGCAGACTCCCATTTACTTCTATGTTGCCAAGGGGCTGAGGGCAAGTTGAAGACTTTCTTCTGTGCTGATGAATCAAGGTTTGTTACTCTTTTCATTGTGCACTTGAAACATACTCAATATTAATTAATATTTTTGTCCTTTTATAGTTTTCATTGGTTATGAGTATTACCAAATTATATAAGCCCAACCTTATGAATTTTTTTTTTTTTTTTGAAAATTATATACCTGCCCCTTGTTAACATTCATCTTGAAGTTAGAATCATCCATCGGAGAACCACCATTATTTTCATATAATTCGGATTTTTTCTCCAACGCGAAACATTGGCTTAGTATTATTAGAGGTTAGGACGGCAATGAGGCAGGTATGAGTCTTTGACCCCCTGCCTCCTGCCACCTTGTTTAGTGAATATTGGACCTTATCCGCCAGACTCTCCTCTCCCCCATCCTCGGCACTCCCCACATAATATAATCCAGTCTCTAACCCTACTTGCCCCGTTTAGTTTTATGACTTATATTTTTAGTATTGAATATTAATAATGTGGTTTTGATAGCTTCTAGTGACAATGATTTAACATTGATTTAAGTTTGCGATCAGAGTCAAGGAAGAAAGAAAAGAGCTGCAATATCCAATAAAACAGAGAATAGAAGAGAAAAAAAAAATCTTTAAAATCGTTTTATAATTATGTAATTTATATGTCAGGTTTTTATAAGTATGCATAATTGGGGCGGGTTACCCTCCCCAAACTCATTTATTAGAATCGGGAGGGTTGGGAACTTCTGGGTCAGTTTTTTCTTGCTATCCCTAATCAGAGGACTGTCTTTGGCATGAACAACAACTTGACTCGCCGATACAACTGTTTTTTGTGTAGGTCTTCAAAGGCAACAGATGTGATGAAACCAATTTATGGAAGCACAGTTCCAGTGCTCAAAGGAGAAAAGTTCAGCATGAGAATATTGGTATGTTAAAAAAATCATTTTGCTTAGTAATAATAATTTTGCTGCCTAAAATCCTAAAATTTATCGAAAATAAATTTGGATTATTAAAATGCGGGTTCATTTTTAATTTAGGTGGATCATTCGATAGTAGAAAGCTTCGCGCAGCCGGGAGGACATGCATACTTCGCGGATATATCCAACGAAGGCCATCTATGAAGATGCAAAATTTTCTTGTTCAACAATGCTACCGAGGCCAACATCATAGCCTCCCTCAAGATTTGGCAAATGGACTCTGCATATATTCATTCCTATCCCACTGAACTCATAATGTAAAAAAAAAAAAAAAAAAAACACTTCTAATGCTCAATCATGTCTCTCCATTGCTCTCTACTTCAGATTGTGTACTGTCATTTTATCATCATTTTTTGCAGAAAAAAAGGGAAAAAAAAAAAAATGTAGAGTAGAGCATGACCATATTCTTCACTCATCTCATCTCCATCTATCAATTGAAGTTCGAGGACCCTTGTGTTGTTCACGTGTAAAATGTTCATGAAGTCCTATGCACATTTTTTTTTTTTAAAACCTGAAAGGTAGCTCGGACAGCAAGTTGCCCATGTTTTTAGCTAGGAGGCCTGAGTTTGACTCCCCTTCTGTTTGTCCGGTTCATAGGTTGACCTTTGAACCTCAAGTTTACATGCCTGGATCAATCAAAAAGATCCCTCATCCAAGTTCTCAGTCACAAAAAAAAAATTGCAATTTTTTTTTTTTTTAAGTCCATGGATTATTCCATTAGCTGCACATATAATCAACAATAACGTATACTTGTGCGGAAAAGCGTAAAGAAAAGTGCTCATTTATTTTTCTGTATAATTTTCTATGCATGTCACAGTCTTTATAAACTGATCAAAAATTTTCTACCCTGAAAACACTGGCATTGTTTGGCTTAGTTTCAGAATTTATTTTATGAGAAAAAAACTAGTTTGATGAAAAAATTGAAAAAAAAAAAAAAAACTAGTATTTCAATATATATATATATATATATATCTTTTCTTTGGGGCAGAGACAGTTTTTGAAAATTTAAAAATATTTTTTGATTTTTATTTTTGTCAAACTAGTTTCTTAATTGTTCAAAAAAAAAAAAAAAAAAAAAAAAAGTTCTGAAAACTTAACCAAATCCCTCCTGTTCCACTTCAATCCGTCAAAATTATTGAATTGTGTGATAGTCTTAAAATACAAAAATCTCTACAAAGGATCAAATTGTTACGATTGGATTGGAACATGGGATAAAGACAGAGTTTTGGAACCATCCTCAGACCAAAAAACATGCACGATTTTAAATGTTTCATGGCATGAAGAAATTGTACACATGAGACAATGGTGAATTGAATTTGTTGGTGATCCGTTGTCTACCACTTGCTGCAGAGGAACATTGGTTGTCTCCTTCGTGCTCGTTGTAATTATTGTGTGGTTCCATTCACGTTTCACATTAAAGCCACTATCTTCTCTCTTCCGCAACTCAAATAGCTAGGTGAACTTTTTTTTTTTTTTCTTTTTTTTTTTTTTAATGTTTAATTCCTAGCCAATTCTCTTAAGTTTCATTGTGTTCGGACCATGTTAGACAAGCTATTGGACGGAAGTACACGTGGAGAAAGTTAAATGGTGTGACAAGCATAAGGCAGCAAGAAGGAGATGTAACATCGTCGTGGAGTCTAGCTGGCAGATGGATAAGGATGCACGTGTCGTTGTCTTTGATTTGGAAACGCATGGATTCCTCGGCCAAACAACGATTCTTTCATGGGATAGTGATTTGGAAATCTTTATCACACTCATTCTCTCTCCTAAAGTTTTTGTATCATTTATTTATTATTATTTTTTTTTATAGAATTCTATCTCCCAACGTCTGGGGGCCTCTGAGTTGGGTATTGCACTTGGCATCCCTATTTTCTGGAAGAAGAGTTACTGGAGCTGAAGTTGTTTTGAAAAAATAGGACGAGTGGCAACATTCATATTCTGTTTATTCTTAAATTCATGTGCTTAGCTTTAGTTGGTTTATTTTTATTGATGAGGAATTGTACTTATCGATTTTCATTAATAGCAAATAATTTCCATTTATATTGTCATATCACTCGAATTTGTCCTTTTCATTTCAATTTCTACTTTTTGTACTCATTCATATTTATACTGTATTTGATTTATGAATTTGTAAAGAAAAAGAAAAAAAGTGTATAAAATGTTAATAAATATAATTATATTTCATTCACATTTCATATAACATTTTTCTTTTGTTTTTTAAAAATCCTTCCATAATTAATGAACCAAACATAGTATTAGGAAATTTGTGATTCTCTCCATCAAGCGAGAAAGAACCAAGTAGCTCATTCTCTTAAGCTATACATAAAGTTTTGGTACAAGTCTAATTATCATTGAGATTGCATTTTATCTTGACATATCTGCGTTAATTACACATTTATCTAAATTGTTTTCCAACACATTGTCACTAAATTTTTCAATGAAGTTCTACCGTAACAAGTTTTGTGTAGGTTGGAATCCTAAGTGCATTCACATTGTATTGAAGAAGTTTTTTAATGGAGAAGTAAATTTGGCGGTCAAGTTATGCCTCAAGAGTATTATTATTGGTAAAAGAAGTGGAGTCTACAATTTAGTCTTTAGGTGATTAAAAATAATAAGAGTAATGTCATTTGATGATTGGTATGAATATTGTCACGTATGCCCTAACTACACTAAATAATTTTTCTTTAATGGAGCTTTTCAATTAGTGGAATAAAATGTGATTTTATAATTCATGTCAATTAATGCCTTAATGGGCTAAGCTCCTGTGCCCTTTTCTAAGCTCTTTCATTGAATTTGGGTTCATTTGTTTTTTTGGGCTAACAAATTACCAACCCCGGTACCTACTAACTAGACGGCCCATGTTACTGTTGCAGCTTGGGCCATTCTACAGTCCAAATGCTATTAGAAAAGGTAATTATCAAACTAGCTCATTAAATATATTTACAATACAACGCAGTGCTTGAGGGCCCGAGAATTCGGGGCTCGAATGCCCCGAAATTCCATTTCAAGTAAAAAAAAAAAAAAAAAAAAAGAAAAAAAGAGAAGAAAAAAAAAATTAGTTCCAAAAATTGAAAATTAGGGTATAGGGCAATTTTTTTAGGGCCACCAATTCATTTTCCTTAAATCAATTAGTCTTGGTGATTTTTTAAAATGAACCAATAGAACTACAAATCACTTTCATCTTTCTCTTCTCTTGCTATCTCACTCTCTCCATGCTTTTTTTTTTAAAGTATTCACGACTACCTATATTCTACCGCCTGAGCCATGTGTCAATCCAGACATCACCAATTCACTATACTGTCGTTTTTTAGATGTTGCCACTGTTTACCAAACATATTTTTTACAATCGTGATCTATACAACATATTGCCACCATCGCACGATCTACAATCTGCTCTCTTTAAAAAAAAAAAAAAAAAAAAAAAATTCCAAAACGACGTCGTTTTGGATTCAAGCCAATTTCGAGCTCGACAGTTTCGAGCTACGTAGCAGTTCCGATAATAAAATAAGATTTTTTTAAAAATGTCTAAGAGCCGCAATTGGTCAGAACAGTGCAAATTGACCCAACTACAGATTAACAGGATTGAGTTCCTGCCTATTATAATTAGGGGTTGTTTAGGGTATCTTAAATAAGTATATTTTTTATTTTTTTAGACTAAAAAGTTGAGGGAAAAAATATGAATGTTTGGGTTAATTTTTTGACTTTTTATGGAAAAATGTGTAATAAAAAATTATAAAAATTAGTTTGTAGAGGAAAATTAGGATTGAGAGTTGTGCAACCGTAATTGTTGACTTTTGCTGAATAGTGTTAACTTTTTAACTTTTTGACTTTTTTTAAGTATCCCAAACTTGGCCTAAGTCACATCATCTTATATAAGTCACATCACCTTTCTATCACATCACTTCAAATTCAACTCATATTTCATAAAAAATAAAAAAGTACACTTATTTAGAATATTTCAAACAACCCTTTATTAAGAAATGTCGTGAAATCTTTTCAATCTACGTAGTTTTTGTGTTTGATTATTTATGGGGTTTTTTTTTTTTTTTTTTGTAAAATCTTAATGACAGAGTAATTATTCTTGGTATGAGTGATTAACTGAATGTTGAATGCTTATTTTCATTTACTAATATATTTTAGTTTGACTTTTATTTATTTATTTATTTTTTTTCCGATTTCTTGTGCTGTCATTGCTATGGTGGATGAATCGTTTCTTCTGGTGCAGATCCCAACGGTATGCTTTTACATCTCTGCCCCTCTCTCCGCACCCACGTGTACACTTGTCTAATTAGATACAACGAGACTTTTTTTTTTTTTTTTGCCCTCTCTTTAGGATTTAAATTACTATGCAACTGACAAATTTGCATCTAGAGTGACGTTTGGTAAGAAAAATGTTAAATATAGACTTGTTTAATTTGGGAATTGTCTGAGAAAATAGAGAGATTAATTTAGTAATTTAGTGAGATTAATTGTCTGAGAAAAATGTGACATTTAGTAATTTTTTAATAAAAATATATACAGAAAAATAGAAAGATTAATTTGATAATTTAAAATGATTTTTTGATTAGAAACTAAAGTTTCCAAAAAGTGTTTAGATATGTATAGGTAGGGGGGAAAAAAGAAAAGAAATTTCAAAGATAAAATTTACCTTTCATTTTTTATTTACAAATTTTTTTCTTTACCTTTAATTTTACTAATTTTTATGCAAATTCAACATTCAAACATTTCAAAAACATATGATCACGGTTGAAACCATCATTGTCATAAATAGTGGTGAAAACAATCAATTAAAAAGTTACAGTAAAATCACATTTTAATTTCTTATATCCACAATTCTTTCCCTTTCAACTTTAGAAGCATAAAAAGTTATCAATGGCGAGAATTTTGGATAGTTATTATTTTTTAATTTGGATTAGTGCAATACATTGGTTGGTCCACGCAATCACTTTCCAAGGAGAGTCTTTTGGACTTTAATAATCATAATTATTATTCATTTAAAAAGAGCACTAGTTGTACCAAAATTGTGTTGGATTTGTGGATTGACAAGAGCCACGTGGATGTGTCTAACAATTATGTCGATAGACAAAGTCAGATTGAAAGCGATTTGAACTGGACAAAAAGACAGGACATGTATTTACCTACTTATTTAAGAGTAATAATGCTAGGAAATTTAATTTTTTACATTAAATGTCCTTATCCATGACATGGCATTTACAAATGGCTCAAAGCAGGTGAATTTTAAGAATGACGTGGCATTTTTACCATTAATGATCGTTACACCTGTGCTTATTAAATGACATTAATTAGTGAACAAACAACCATAATTTCTTTTGCAATTTTTTTAAAAACGATTATTAATTTCAAATCTCAACATAAAATCCAAACATAATACATGATGTTATTTAAACTCATTTTTTTACAAATTAATATATTAAATAATCAAATTATAGAAATTTTTTTTTGATGAAAATAAGGGATAAATACACATGTGTAGGAGTTGAGTTAAGTCAATTTATATAGTTGGATTAACAATTTATGAACTGTATGCGAATCATCATATTATTTTTTGTCATCTAGTTTGTATAACTTACTTGTTCATTTTCTAAATTTGTACGAGTTGATCTGTACTTATAAATAAACATTCCCCCCTCTCCCTCCCTCCCTACCTAAAATACAGTTTACATGTCATCAATGCATTAAAGGATAATCAGGATTGTTCGGGATATAGATTGAGCTAATTTAGTTTATAAAAAGATAAAATAGATTAAAATATCACATATAAATCATAATCATTTAATTTTTTTTCTTTCACAATCATCACATATAAATATAAAATAAAAAATAAAAAAATTATCTCAAATAAAACTTTTTTAATTAGACTAAAATAATTAAAAACTTATGCTAAAAAAATTTATCCCAAAGAAAGCCTCAAAAAAGACGATAAAAGAAGAAAACTCAAAGCGTAATTCATAACTTGAAGTAGAGGAAAACTTTAAATCAATTTTATTGTGAATGTTGTATTTGTTTTTTATAGGCTTAGTTTTATTTCTTTTGAGAGAGTAATTTATTTTTTGTTTATTTTTATTCTCCCTATAAAAGATATGTATTAAACTTTATTGTATATATATATTTTTAGTTAAAATATAACTTATAAAATTAAAAATAAACAAAAAAAAGCCTTAATTAATGAGAACTTTATGATCCATGTTAAACATGATAGGTCCACTATACTACAAAGGGTGGTACCACTTCTTCTACCAATACAACCCAGAAGGTGCAGTATGGGGTAACATCGTGTGGGGTCATTCGGTATCAACAGACCTGATCCACTGGCGCCACCTCCCCATCGCGATGACCTACGATCAATGGTACGATAGCAACGGTGTCTGGACTGGGTCCGCTACCCTCCTCCCCAACGGTGATCTTGTCATGCTCTACACCGGATCAACCAATCAGACCGTGCAGGTCCAAAATCTAGCATACCCTGCCGACCCATCCGATCCCCTCCTCATTGATTGGGTCAAATACCCCAAAAACCCGGTTCTAGTACCCCCACCCGGAATTGATATCCACGACTTCCGTGACCCGACAACCGCCTGGCTCACATCTGAGGGCAAGTGGCGGATCACAATCGGGTCAAAAATTAACAAAACGGGCATTTCAACCAATCAGACCGTGCAGGTCCAAAATCTAGCATACCCCGCCGACCCATCTGATCCCCTCCTCATCGATTGGGTCAAATACCCCAAAAACCCGGTTCTAGTACCCCCACCCGGAATTGATATCCACGACTTCCGTGACCCGACAACCGCCTGGCTCACATCTGAGGGCAAGTGGCGGATCACAATCGGGTCAAAAATCAACAAAACGGGCATTTCATTGGTTTATGAGACCATGGACTTTAAAAACTTCGAGCTCTTGGAAGGGGTGCTCCATGCGGTTCCGGGTACGGGTATGTGGGAGTGCGTGGACTTCTACCCGGTATCCACGAGTGGGGAAAACGGGTTGGACACGTCAATGAAGGGTTCTGGAGTGAAACATGTGGTGAAAGCTAGCTTTGATGATGATAGGAATGATTACTATTCTCTGGGGACGTATGATGAGGAAACAGCTGTTTGGCATCCGGATGATCCGAAATTGGATGTGGGTCTCGGGTTGAGATATGATTATGGAAAATTCTATGCATCGAAGACATTTTTTGATGTGGAGAAGAAGAGAAGGGTGTTGTGGGGTTGGATTCCGGAGACAGATAGCGAATTGGCCGACATTCAGAAGGGTTGGGCTTCTCTTCAGGTACATTCATATATTTCATACTCAATTTTTACATAAAGACAGTGATATTTATATAATTAAATATTATTTTTATTGGCACTTCGTGTAAAATGATAAATTTCAATGCAACACCCCCATTAAATTTGAATATATATCACACAATTCACTTTCTAGAAAAATATTTTTGTATTCCAAAAATTTCTGTGACGGTATGTAGTTTTTTCTTTCCTTACTACCCTCCTGCCCATAAATATGTCATACTTGTTGACAAAGATGCTAATGATTCAAACAGGCAGTTCCAAGGACAGTAGTGTTTGACAGGAAAACTGGAAGCAATGTACTTCAATGGCCAGTGGTGGAGGTTGAGAAATTACGAACGAAAAGCTGGCAATTTAGCAATGTGGTTGTCCAACCAGGCTCAGTCTTGCCCCTTGATGTCGGCAAAAAAACCTCTCAGGTTAGTATTAGATCTTCTACTTGCACAGAATCGATTCACAGAATGAGAGAGTTGTGTTTGAATTCTATGATTAGATTTTGTGAGCTCATTTTTCTTGTGGGAATGTAACAATTGGCTTATATTGTCAATTGTGCATTGGCAATGTAACAGTTAGACATCATGGCCGAGTTTGAGCTCGATCAGGAGGCCTTGAACAGGGTGAATGAAACTGATGAGATGTTCAGTTGCAGCACTGCCGGTGGAGCAGCAAACCGGGGTGCTCTTGGACCGTTTGGTTTGTTGGTTCTTGCAGATGAGAGCCTTTCTGAGCAGACTCCCGTTTACTTCTATGTTGCCAAGGGAGCTGAGGGCAAGTTGAAGACTTTCTTCTGTGCTGATGAATCAAGGTTTGTTACTCTTTTCATTGTGCACTTGAAACATACTCAATAGTAATTAATATTTTTTTGTCCTTATTATAGTTTTATTGGTTATGAGTATTACCAAATTATATAAGTCCACCCTTATGATTTTTTTTTTTTTTTTTTTCCTTTTTTTTTTTTTTTTTTTTTTGAAAATTATATTACCTGCCCCTTGTTAACATTCATCTTGAAGTTAGAATTTCCATCCATCTCTGAGAACCCCCATTATTTTCATATAATTCTGATTTTTTCTCCAACGCAAAACATTGGCTTAGTACTATTAGAGGTTAGGATGGAGGCAGGTATGAGTCTTTGACCCCTACCCTCCTGCACCCTTGTTTAGAGAGTATTGGACCTTATCCGCCAGACTCTCCTCTCCACTCCCCCATCCTCAGCCCTCCCCACATAATATAATCCAGTCTCCAACCCTACTTGCCCCGTTTAGTTTTATGACTTATATTTTTAGTATTGACTATTAATAATGTGGTTTTGATAATTCTAGACGACAATGATTAAACATTGATTTAAGTGTGCGATCAGAGTCAAGGAAGAAAGAAAAGAGCTGCAATATCCAATAAAACAGAGAATAGAAGAGAAAAAAAATCTTTAAAATCATTTTATAATTATGTAATTTATATGTCAGGTTTTATAGTATGCATAATTGGGTCGGGTTACCCTCCCCAAACTCATTTTATTAGAATCGGGGAGGGTTGGGAACTGCTGGGTCGGGGATTTTTTTGCTATCCCTAATCAGAGGACTGTTTTTGGCATGAACCACAACTTGACTCGCCGATACACCTGTTTTTTGTGTAGGTCTTCAAAGGCAACAGATGTGATGAAACCAATTTACAGAAGCACAGTTCCAGTGCTCAAAGGAGAAAAGTTCAGCATGAGAATATTGGTATGTTAAAAAAATCATTTTGCTTAGTAAATAATAATTTGCTGACTAAAATCCTAAAATTTATCGAAAATAAAATTTGGATTATTAAAATGTGGGGTCATTTTTAATTTAGGTGAATCATTCGATAGTAGAAAGCTTCGCTCAACGCGGGAGGACGTGCATAACTTCGCGGATATATCCAACGAAGGCCATCTATGAGGATGCAAAAATTTTCTTGTTCAACAATGCTACCGGCCCTCCCCACATAATATAATCTAGTCTCCGACCCTACTTGCCCCGTTTAGTTTTATGACTTATATTTTTAGTATTGAATATTAATAATGTGGTTTTGATAGCTCTAGATGACAATGATTTAACATTGATTTAAGTTTGCGATCAGAGTCAAGGAAGAAAGAAAAGAGCTGCAATATCCAATAAAACAGAGAATAGAAGAGAAAAAAAAAAATCTTTAAAATCGTTTTATAATTATGTAATTTATATGTCAGGTTTTTTATAGTATGCATAATTGGGTCGGGTTACCCTCCCCAAACTCATTTTATTAGAATCGGGGAGGGTTGGGAACTTCTGGGTCAGGTTTTTCTTGCTATCCCTAATCAGAGGACTGTCTTTGGCATGAACAACAACTTGACTCGCCGATACAACTGTTTTTTGTGTAGGTCTTCAAAGGCAACAGATGTGATGAAACCAATTTATGGAAGCACAGTTCCAGTGCTCAAAGGAGAAAAGTTCAGCATGAGAATATTGGTATGTTAAAAAAATCATTTTGCTTAGTAATAATAATTTGCTGCCTAAAATCCTAAAATTTATCGAAAATAAAATTTGGATTATTAAAATGCGGGTTCATTTTTAATTTAGGTGGATCATTCGATAGTAGAAAGCTTCGCTCAACGCGGGAGGACATGCATAACTTCGCGGATATATCCAACGAAGGCCATCTATGAAGATGCAAAAATTTTCTTGTTCAACAATGCTACCGAGGCCAACATCATAGCCTCCCTAAAGATTTGGCAAATGGACTCTGCATATATTCATTCCTATCCCACTGAACTCATAATGTAAAAAAAAAAAAAAAAAAAAACACTTCTAATGCTCAATCATGTCTCTCCATTGCTCTCTACTTCAGATTGTGTACTGTCATTTTATCATCATTTTTTGCAGAAAAAAAGGAAAAAAAAAAATGTAGAGTAGAGCATGACCATATTCTTCACTCATCTCATCTCCATCTATCAATTGAAGTTCGAGGACCCTTGTGTTGTTCACGTGTAAAATGTTCATGAAGTCCTATGCACATTTTTTTTTTTTAAAACCTGAAAGGTAGCTCGGACAGCAAGTTGCCCATGTTTTTAGCTAGGAGGCCTGAGGTTTGACTCCCCTTCTGTTTGTCCGGTTCATAGGCTTGACCTTTGAACCTCAAGTTTACATGCCTGGATCAATCAAAAAGATCTTCCCTCATCCAAGTTCTCAGTCACAAAAAAAAAATTGCAATTTTTTTTTTTTTTAAGTCCATGGATTATTCCATTAGCTGCACATATAATCAACAATAACGTATACTTGTGCGGAAAAGCGTAAAGAAAAGTGCTCATTTATTTTTCTGTATAATTTTCTATGCATGTCACAGGTCTTTATAAACTGATCAAAAATTTTCTACCCTGAAAACACTGGCATTGTTTGGCTTAGTTTCAGAATTTATTTTATGAGAAAAAAACTAGTTTGATGAAAAAATTGAAAAAAAAAAAAAAAACTCAAAAAACTAGTATTTCAATATATATATATATATATATATCTTTTTCTTGGGGCAGAGACAGTTTTTGAAAATTTAAAAATATTTTTTGATTTTTATTTTTGTCAAACTAGTTTCTAATTGTTCAAAAAAATAAAAAAAGTTCTGAAAACTTAACCAAATGCCCTCCTGTTCCACTTCAATCGGTCAAAATTATTGAATTGTGTGATAGTCTTAAAATACAAAAATCTCTACAAAGGATCAAATTGTTACGATTGGATTGGAACATGGGATAAAGACAGAGTTTTGGAACCATCCTCAGACCTAAAAACATGCACGATTTTAAATGTTTCATGGCATGAAGAAATTGTACACATGAGACAATGGTGAATTGAATTTGTTGGTGATCCGTTGTCTACACTTGCTGCAGAGGAACATTGGTTGTCTCCTTCGTGCTCGTTGTAATTATTGTGTGGTTCCATTCACGTTTCACATTAAAGCCACTATCTTCTCTCTTCCGCAACTCAAATAGCTAGGTGAACTTTTTTTTTTTTTTTCTTTTTTTTTTTTTTAATGTTAATTCCTAAGCAATTCTCTTAAGTTTCATTGTGTTCGGACCATGTTAGACAAGCTATTGGACGGAGTACACGTGGAGAAAGTTAAATGGGTGTGACAAAGCATAAGGCAGCAAGAAGGAGATGTAAACATCGTCGTGGAGTCTAGCTGGCAGATGGATAAGGATGCACGTGTCGTTGTCTTTTGATTTGGAAACGCATGGATTCCTCGGCCAAACAACGATTCTTTCATGGGATAGTGATTTGGAAATCTTTATCACACTCATTCTCTCTCCTAAAGTTTTTGTATCATTTATTTATTATTATTTTTTTTTTTATAGAATTCTATCTCCCAACGTCGGGGGGCCTTCTGAGTTGGGTATTGCACTTGGCATCCCTATTTTCTTGGGAAGAAGAGTTACTGGAGCTGAAGTTGTTTTGAAAAAATAGGACGAGTGGCTCACATTCATATTCTTTTATTTCTAAATTCATGTGCTTAGCTTTTAGTTGGTTTATTTTTATTGATGAGAATTGTACTTATCGATTTTCATTAATAGCAAATAATTTCCATTTATATTGTCATATCACTTCGAATTTGTCCTTTTCATTTCAATTTCTACTTTTGTACTCATTCATATTTATACTGTATTTGATTTATGAATTTGTAAAGAAAAAAGAAAAAAAGTGTATAAAATGTTAATGAAATATAATTATATTTCATTCACATTTCATATAACATTTTTCTTTTGTTTTTTAAAAATCCTTCCATAATTAATGAACCAAACATAGTATTAGGAAATTTGTGATTCTCTCCATCAAGACGAGAAAGAACCAAGTAGCTCATTCTCTTAAGCTATACATAAGAGTTTGGTACAAGTCTAATTATCATTGAGATTGCATTTTAGTCTTGACATATCTGCGTAATTACACATTTATCTAAATTGTTTTCCAACACATTGTCACTAAATTTTTCAATGGAAGTTCTACCGTAACTAAGTTTTGTGTAGGTTGGAATCCTAAGTGCATTTCACATTGTATTGAAGAAGTTTTTAATGGGAGAAGTAATTTGGCGGTCAAGTGATGCCTTAAGAGTATTATTATTGGTAAAAAGAGTGGAGTCCACAATTTAGTCTTAGGTGATTAAAAAATAATAAGAGAATATGTCATTTGATGATTGGTATGAATATTGTCACGTATGCCCTAACTACACTAAATAATTTTTCCTTTAATGGAGGCTTTTCAATTAGTGGAATATAAATGTGATTTATGAATTCATGTCAATTAATGCCTTAATGGGCTAAGCTCCTGTGCCCTTTTCTAAGCTTTCATTGGAATTTGGGTTCATTTGTTTTTTTGGGCTAACAAATTACAACCCACGGTACCTACTAACTAGACGGCCCATGTTACTGTTGCAGCTTGGGCCATTCTACCTAGTACCAAATGCTATTAGAAAAGGGTAATTATCAACTAGTTCCATTAAATATATTTAAATACAATTAGTCTTGGTGATTTTTTAAATGAACCAATAGATCCTACAAATTCTTTCATCTTCTTCTCTTCTCTCTTGCTATTCCTCTCTCCACCATTTTTTTTAAGATTCACACTACCATATTCTACCGCCGATGCCATTGTCATCCACTCACCATCACTACCGTCGTTTTTAGATGTTGCCACCGTTTACCAACTATTTTTACCATTGTTGATCTATACGACATATTGCCACCATCGCCGATCTACACAACCACCACATCAACATTGCCTCCTTTGTTTCAGATAGTGAAATTGATACTAAATTACTCTAAATAATGGTGATTCTCTAGATCTGTCTTTTTCTTAGATATGTTGAAAACTAAATTAAGATTAAGATTTAATTTTTAGTGATAAATTTATTAGTCTGTTTCATTATTTGTGTATGTGGAAGAGAATGATGGATTTTTGTGAGCGAACGAGTGAATATGAATAAAGAATAGTGGATATTAATGAATAAATTCACAGCGCTAAATTTATCAATCAGGAGTTATAGATAAATAAGTATAGTCAATAGGATCAACTCATAATTTAAATCCATTAAAATATAAAGTTGAAGATAAAAATATTTTCAACCGATTTGCCAATTCTTAAAGTGGGTTTTATCCAGGAACTTGATACAAGAGATCCACAAATAATAATAACAATAATAATAATACACATTAGGTGGGATACTCTATTTTGTCAAATTTAAAGATTATAATTTGCCACATAAGCTTTAAAAATATGACATTTCCAAATTTGAAGTTGGTTGAAGATGTGCTTTCTTCAAAAAGGTTTCTTGGACAAGGGTAAACCATGATATTCTAAGCAAAAGATCGCAAAGAAATATTATATTTTAATTTATGCAATCTTATACACTCAAATTGCTCTAATCATAGCCATTCAAAGATAAAACAAAAATTTTAATGCATGATAAGATTGAGCATATATTATAAACTTATTATAAAAATGAAATTAGCATTAATATTATAGTTTTGGTCGGTTGGAGTAGCCAAATTGTTGCCAGATTTGAGCTTTATGGCTTTGCTTATATCATGATTAGTCACATAAACATTTTGTTTAAAAAGTTGTCTGTCATTAATTATGGCTGTGGAGCTAATCGCTGCTGGATTAGCGGATAAGGACTTCTTATTTAATTACTTTTTTAGACGGGCAATAATTTTCTATTCTCATATATATGACTGCACTTTAAATTATTGAATTATATAAATCTTAAAACATGTGAATCTTTAAGCATAATCTAACGGTTGAGAGTGAGTTGAAACCAAAAAAAGAAATGAAAAGAGTGAATTGACACCATTATCCGAGATTAATTTATTTTGGGTGGTTATTTATATACTATGTTAAATTTAAATGACACAAATTTTAACTAAGAATGAGATTGTGATTTGGAAATTTCATAATTCCACAATATAGAATGGATTATCTTATTATCTATTTCAGTAAGAATTATATTTCCAAACTAAAAAGAAAATCCATTTCTCAATGAGAATCTCATATTTTTTAAGAGATGTCAACTATTTAAGAATAAAAACAAAATTTTAGGCTCATAATATTTGAAATCTTATCAACACTACAAGAAATTAGTGATTTAGAGACTAATATTTAGAGACAAATTGAATTTGGTCTCTAAAAGCCATCATTTAGGGACAAAAATAAATTTTAAGAGAAAGCAATATAAACACACCATATTCCTTTATGATATGTATTACCGGGGGGAAAAAAAAGTTATACTTCTTATTTGACCAGTTGATCCGCGTGTTTGATATGATTAAGAGCTGGAGACCCATTAATTTGGTTACTAATGTGTGAAGATTGTTGGAGACCAAATATTTTGGTTGTCTCAATAATAGGCAAATAAAATTTTATTCTTTGCCTAAGGCTCCAATGGAGATAAGATCTTCAGCTTCAATTGTCTAGGACTCCAATGGAGATCTAAGATCTTCAGCTTCAATCGATCTCATCTTCATGATCGATCTCATACTCCAACGCAGATCTATCCTCTCTCGCTTTTCGTTTCCGCACCAGTACCCTTTCTTGCTCAGGCCTCTCTCTCTCTGTCTCTCTCTAATGTATATATATATATATATATATATAGCAGATATATGTATGTCTATGGCAGATTGGTTTTGAAATTATTTTTAGTGTATAGGTGTTTGGATCTGTGTAACGCCCCTAAAATAATTACAAGAATCCAACTCCAAACGCCTATACAAAGTGATATTGATACAATAAGAAGCTTTCATTAATCATAATTAATATACTACAAAAGATAACAATTACAAAGTTGAGTGAAAGCTACACAGTTAATTACATGTCTTACTGGCTTATATCTTTCCAAGTCACTGCTTGGTTACAACAAGAATGAGTCATAAGCTCAATACACATAAAGCCCTAGTCTTGTACAAAAAGTTAATTACAAAATAAACACCATTGAGCCCTTAGCCCTACAATCATCCCAAGCTAAGTCCTTGGCGAAGGCATATCACCAACACCTGTGTCACGCCCTAAAATTTGGACAATTAAATATTAAATTAGGACTGAACCCCAATCAATATTCCATCATCCAAATCTTAGGACTGAAAAAAAATCTAAACGTTCTCATCTCCATAAGGTTTAAGTAAATTTCCATCCTCAAAAGATTACAAGGGATTTAAAAAAAAAAAAAAAACTAACAATACGCCAACCAAATCATCCACTATAATTTCATAACTAACCAATACCTCAAACATTAAAATAACAATAAATAGTCAAAACAACTTAAATAATGTAAGGTTACAAACCATGCCATATTGTCAAAATACTAAGGTTATAAAAAAATAATAATAAATACATAAATTAAGATCAACCATAAGCTCAAGAAAATAAAAGTAGTCCAAATGACATGTCCAACAATTATAATTATTTCTCTTCACTACTGTAGTCCCAAATAATTCTGCAAAGGAAGTTCAGTTGCGCTCAACAGAACGCACTCGAGATGCCAAGAGACAAAACGGGTCAGTATACAAGTATATTGGTATGAGTATAAATATTTGACACCCACATGTCTACCAGACATAAACAGAAATACATTTAATTCTTGTTACAGGACAAGACAAGTAGTTCCATCCGCACTGAGACGAATGAGTAGTTTCCCAAGATACGGTGGCATTTAGTTTCTTGCTCGTACACAACGAAATATAAATTGAGTATAAAATAAACAAAATAAACAAAATAAAAATAAAAATATGGTGGGTCAGCACTACATAAAAAGTTAGTAAGACCTACTATTCTGTAAAAAATAAAGCTAGTATAATTTAATTATAAGTAACTTGCTGAAGAAGTATAAAAATGCACCGTTTCATGCTTAAATAATTCGAATTGACCAAAACTCAAAGAACAAAAGTTGTACAGAATCAAATTTCCTAGAAGACAACATGAACGAATTTAGTAGAAACTGAACAGGTTGAGAGAAAAACTTGATAGAAGAACCTAGACGGAATTTAACCGAAAAATCTGAAGTTGAAAATGAAAAGAAACTGTCCTAAGATGATTTTTTTGGCAAAAGTTCAAAACACAAAAACTGTTCATAATAGTGTTTTACTTCAGTTTACGTGAAATCAATAAAAATGAACTCATTTCATGGGTTAAAACAACCTCTAAAATCTACATTGCTAAAATGAATAAAAACTACTATAACCAAGATCACCTGATTACAAATTCTAATCGATCTTTTTAGTACAAAGTTAAAATACAAAAGTTGTCTAGAATTACATATACATGTTTCTGCCCAAATTTCATAATTTATCAAGATCGTTTACTATTTTCAAGATGTACAACTCAATATAATTCACACTATATCAATAAACTCATATTTAATTATTTGTACCTTAACTCCACTACTTCGGCCCTTCACTTCCGGCCTGCACATATATCTCATGTGCCTCCCGTATACCTAAAAATTCTCCGAAGCCAAACTTGCATGGGAATATCGT